CTCTTCTTGCGCATTCAGCCCTGAAACCCTGAAGCTCTACAGGACTGAGCCTCCATACAAAGCCCTGCCCCCTGAGCCGTAAACCCCAAAATGGCTACTCTCCATAAGGGATCCTATTGGGCATCTAGCTCGATAGTTCTCCCCATTCCCTACCCAAGAGCCAGCAAGAAACAGGAGAGCTATGGCGCCGCGGCCCGGGCGCTCCTGCACACGGAGGCAGCTTCTGGTTCAGGGTTTAGGGTTTAGGGTTCAGGGTTCAGGGTTTAGGGTTTAGGGTTTAGGGTTCAGGGTTCAGGGCTTAGGGTTTAGGGTTTAGTGTTTACGGTTTAGGGTTTCGGGCTTAGGGGGCCTCAGGTCCATGGCCTTCGGTCTTTCGTATTTTGCTCGTGGCAAGCGCGAGCTGTGGACCATGGGGTGGCTTCATGCATCCTGCCGACCGTGAGATGAGAGCAACCTAAACCCCCATACCCTAAACCCTAAACCTTAAACCCTAAACCCTAAACCCCAAACCCTAAGTCCTAAACCCCAAACCCTAGACCCTAGACCCTAAACCCTAAACCCTAAACCTGATAGATACGTCGCACGGGTCGGACCCCAGACCTTCCCAGGATCCCCAAGTCCGAGGCCCCTTGATTGGCCCTACACCCGACCTCCAGCCTATCAAGCCCAAAGCCCAAAGCCCCCGAAACCCTAGGGTTCAGGGTTTAGGGTTTAGGGTTCCCATGAAACAGGGTCATTGGTGAGTGTAGTGGTGAGTGTATATAATTGGTGTCCATTTGCGGATGCAAGGAATATAAACTTTACTCCATGTGTTTTGACATTTAGGGTTTGGACTTCCTGGGGTTTAGGGTTTGGGGTTTAGTGTTTAGTGATTAGGCCTTCGGGTTTAGGAGTTCAAGTACGTTAGCAGCTTTTCGACACAGTGCGGCAGATGCAACTTGCGATCCGATACAGAGAAAGACCCACAAATCCCAAAACCCCACACCCCAAAACCCTAAATTCAAGCCCCCAAACCCAAAACCCGCCACCGTCCATATCCTACATCACCAAAGAGCCCGAACTGCGTCAGACTCCAGCAATGCAGGGAGCCGATCGCAGCAAGATCGGCAACTTCTTGGGCCAGGAGCTTCAGGGTTTAGGGTTTAGGGTTCAACGTCCAAGTAGGGTTTAGGTTCGTTGTATCCCTACCCCCGACGCCCTAAACCTGCCCTGAATAACACTTTCAGTAGCCTAAAGAGTGTCTAGGGTTGAGTGTCTAGTCTATGGTTTAGGGTTTAGGGTTTAGGTTTTAGGGTTTAGGGATACCCTCATAGCGAACCTCAAAATGTCATAGTCCTTCTCAGAGGAGCATGAGAGTTGGCTTAGAGTGTCGTATTGGGTACGTTCCCCAAGCCCTAAAACCTCCTATAGCCTAAAGCCCAAAATCACCCTAAACCCTAAACCCAAAACCTAAGCCCTGAACACAGAACCCTGAACCCTAAGCCCTAAGCCCCGAGCGCTAAATCCTAAACCCTAAACCCTAAACCCTGAACCCTAAACCCTAAACCCTAGAACCCTACACCTACATTCAGAGGACTTCTCCCTCTGCCTCCTGGTCCGTTTCGGTGTGCTGGATAGTCTGCCGCTGCTGTGCACCGGCGTGATCTCTTGCAGCGGCCCCCAGAAGGGTTTAGGGTTTAGGGTTTGGGGTTTAGGGTTTGGGGTTTAGGGTTTAGGGTTTGGGGTTTGGGGTTTAGGGTTTAGGGTTGAAGGTTCAGCCGACCAGGGTTCGGAAGGGCACTTCGAGGTTGGTGACCCCTTAAACTTGCCAAGGCTTAGGGGCTTGGGGTTGGGGGTTTAGGGTGTAGGGTTTGGGGTTTAGGGTTTAGGGTTTAGGGTTTAGGGTTTGGGGTTTAGGGTTTAGGGTTTCGGATTTGAGGTCTAGGGTCAGGGGACCCCAAAACCCCTGGGGCTCCGAGCCCTTTGGCTAGAAGTACGCACGAAGTGGCGATCGGCCACGTTTTCTCCCTCTCTGCTTCGTTTCCATAATGCAGCAACAGGACAACGCGGGGTTTCTCTCAACCCTAAACCGAAACATCCAAAAGTACATAGGAGATCTGCCCATGTGCCACACTTGAGATCCAGCCCAACTTTGCTGGGTTTTGTTCGGCGTCTCGCGCCCTCCAAGACACCAGCACTGAAACTCCAAATCCTCAACCCTAAACCCCTCAGCCCTAAACCCTAAACCCCACACCTTCAACCCTAAGCCCCCTAAACCCTCAGCCTTACGCCTTCAACCCTAAACCCGAAATCCCTGCCACCCTAAACCACCCCTAAACCCCCTACCCTAAAACCCTCGAGCCCTCAGTCCCTGACCGCCTTGACCACCCAAAACCCCGAAGCCCCCAAATCCCCAATCCCTGGCACCCTCAACCCTAAACCCTATACCCCACAACCCCTAAACCCTAAACCCTAAACCCTAAACCCGAAACCCTAAACCCTAAACCCTCAACCCTAAACCCTAAACCCCAACTCCTAAACCCCTAAACTCCTAAGCCCCAAAGATCGCGCTTCCCGAGGCTTGGAGATGTCCTTCGCCCGGATTCAACTCCCGGAGGTTTCGGGGGGCGCATGTTAGGGCTCCAGGGTGCTAGGGGTTCGGGGTTCAGGGTTTAGGGTTGCAGGGTTCAGGGTTCAGGGTTTAGGGTTGCAGGGTTTAGGATTGCAGGGTTTAGGGTTTAGGTTTGAGGGTTCAGGGTTAAGGGTTTAGGGTTGCACGCTTACACGAAGCAATTATGATATCTCTGACCCCCCCGGCATCCGCGCATTGGAATCGCGCAGCGCAAAAGCCGAACACCCTGAAACAAAATCCGCCCTAAACCAGAAACCGGCAGGCACTCGCACCCTAGAGCCCGCAAGCTAATAATCCCCATGCGCTTATGCGTGCAAGGCTCTACGAAGGCTAGGAAAATCATGCTGCTCCGCCAGGATTTAGATCGGATGGAGCGTCTGCTGCACGCTGCTGCTCTGGTTTGGCCAGGGCCATGGCTCAGTTGCAAGGCGTAGCCCTAAACCCGAAGCCCTGACCCGCACCACAACACCCGAGAGCCCCAAGCCTAAAAAAGGTTTGAGACCTTGCGGTTTTTGAGTTCAGGGCGCATGCTTTCGTGTCTGTGTGGGGTTCTAGCGTGTGAGGGCTTAAGTTTTGATGCTTTTGTGTTTTTTTCGAGCCCGGTTCTTTGCCAAGGTGGAGGAAGCACCGGGCCCTGTCGCCTTCCATGCTGCCCCCGGAGGTGCCCCAGCTGCCGGCCATGTTGGGGCTTTGCTACGAAAAGCTTTGGGTTGAGGGTTTCGAGGTGAAGGGTTCTGGGAGGGAGTCCCCCACCCTCAGCCCTGAACCCTAAAACCCGAAGATCCTAAACCCTGGGCCTTAATCCCTGAGCCCTAGACCCTAAGCCCTAAACCCCAAACCCTAAACCGCTGAACCCTACACCTCCGGGGGCTTCGCCCCTCCGCCTAAGGGTACTAACAGTACCTGATATACATGGTCACGGAGAATGGTTCTTACTTTCCTTGCTTTTGGGGGGTTCTTGGGTGCTTATTAGTGGGGTGGTAAGTGCTCTAAAAAAGGTCATCGCCAGTCAAAACAATCGTTACCCTACTTCTAGCCCTACTTAGAAGTGCCCCAAATGAACCTCCAAGTCGTTCCCCGATCTTACAGTGGAGTTTGCATTTTTGTTGAAATCCCGGCCTGAGCTTCCTCCGCAAACCCTAAGACACGCTGAGCCCCTGAAACTCAAAAGAGAACCCCGAAGCCCTAGAGCTCCTAAAACTCTGAGGTCCCTCTAAGCTCCGAACCCTAGACCCTTGAAGCCTAAACCCCTAAATCCTTGCTTCTAAACCCTGAACCCTGCACCCTAAGCCCTGAACCCAAAACCCAAAACCCTAAACCCTTAAACCCTAAAACCCCAAACCCTAAACCCTAAACCCCAAAACCCCTGAAGCCAAAATCCCTGAAGCCCCGCCAGACGACCCCCGAGAGCGAGCCGACCAGCTCCAACAGGGAGCTCGTGGCGGCCTCGACCGCTCTTTTGAGGGTTAGAGGGCTTTTTGGGGTTTCGGGTTTAGGGTTTCGGGTTCAGGGTTCGTTTTTTTAGGTAGGCCATGCACGCTTGTCTGAGCGCTTTGGCGGCTTCCTTCGGGCAGCTCCCGCAAAGCTTGTGGATTTGGTCGATTTTCGAGTGAGGGCCTAGTGAGGGATTCGGGTTTAGGGTTTAGGGTTTAGGGTTCAGGGTTCAGGGTTTAGGGTGGTTTTGATGTGTATCCAATTGCTGTTTGTTGTGTTGGGATGCTGCCCTCGGAGCTCAGCTGTTCAAGTCCCCAAGCTCTGACTAAAACACCCGCAGCGTCCCGTGGGCGTTGTCGGAGGAATTTTTGGAGGGTGCCTCCGAAAGTTTGTGGTTCGGGAAGAAGGGGCTTGGGGCTTTTGCGGGAATGTTGCCTGAGGCGAAGCTTTGGCGGGGCGCCAGATGTAGAAGCATCACAGGGCTACGCTCAATCTGAGATCTGAAACAACCTCAAGAATGGCCCAAACCCTCAAACAGGAGCCCTAGAACTTTAGGCCCTAAAACCCAAAGCTAAAACCCTAAAGTCCAGAAGCCCATGGGAAGACTGGGGAGGTCGGCCATGCCCTCCTGCAGTACATCTCAAGCGCCCAGGTTCTGCCTGGCCCCCGGCTTTAGGGTGGTTCATGGTTTCGGCTTGAATCAGTGGTTTGGGCTCTTAATTAACTCGTTGGGGTTTAAGGCTTGGAATTTAGGGTTCAGAGTTGAGCTTACGGGGCTGGCACTCACAGGCCATTGTGGTAAACTTTTGCTACTGGCAGCTCCAGCAGTCTAGAAGCTCTTTGACAAGCACCCAACTGTTGGTTGATGTATCTGGGGTTCTGCAGTTGCAGTCGAGATGTCCAAATTTGAGACGTTGGGTCGCATCGATGCAGAGCCCAGCTTTGGCGCGTACGCATGCGTACGCAAGTGGCGTGCTCTTTGTACGGCCGTACTTGTCGGGCTATCTCATCTTGTTTATCCCAGGACGCTGAAGGCCTTGAAAGACAAGCCGTGCGCCAGTCGGAATTTAGAGGGGTTCATTGGCGCAGCTCTGCCAGAAAATGGGTCGCTTCAATTACAGACCCCGCTTCGAGTGTCAAGCGGCACTTGGGAGTATTCGATGATGAGCGAGTTGCTGCAGAAGTCTATGACGCAGCTGCTGTCGTGCTGCGCGGTCTGGGTTCACACGTCAACTTTCCACATCAGATGCCAACGAGGCAAGACCTTGAAGAGGCCAAGATGCGACTTTCTCCCAAGTTGCGGACGTCAGTTTACAGAGGGGTGTGCCGGCACCATGGGAGATGGCTTGCGCAAATATACACAAGTTCAGGCCGGTGCTATCTGGGCAGGTTCGAGGAGGAAGCTCAAGCGGCACGTATTGTTGATCAAGCCCTCCGCAGGAGTGCCATCCCTAGGTACCGTAAGCTGGCAAATCTGAATTTCTTGCAGCCGTCCGACTTTTTCTCGGAAGATTCATGGCAAGATGAGCCAGCTCCTGAAGGGAAGACGTCACGTTTCCTTGGAGTGTACTATGATCGCAGGTCGGCAAAGTATCGTGCGAAGTGTTGCCGCAAACATCTTGGCCTCTTTCAGTCGGAGCGTGAGGCTGCTAGAGCATTCGATGCTGCGTCTGCTGCAATTGGAGGTCCAACGAATTTCGCACCATGTGCTGCAGCCACTTGGCCACTGTTTGCTGTTTAGGGGTTCCGGTCTGAACGAATCTTGCTGACCAGCCGAGCTGCAGGCTGCAGAAGCTTTGGCGTCATCGGTCGCTGAAGGAGGACGGGTTCATCGCCAGCCACCACTGCCACCACAAGTGACTGCTGGCTACCATCTGGACACCGTATCTTGGCTGTCCCGTCTTGGAGGTTTTGCTGCTGTGGGATGTGCAGCTTCGCTAGGTTTTCTTTCTGGGTTCTTCGCATGAGAAGGAACGTTGGAGCTCTGCAGCCTCATCGCCACCAATGATTGCAGATCATAGCTGCCGCCGGACCACAAGGTGGAAAGACATCGAGTGCGAATCTACAGACACGGAGCAACGATACCCTTGTGCCGCCTATCGTTTTTCCTCCGATGAAGCCATCCGCATTGCAGCCTGGCCACTCTCTGCAGCAGCCCTCCCAACCTCCCTCACTGAACTTACGGCAGCTGACGTCCCCCGATTCTTGGCGCAGGCTGAGGTGGGTGTTCACAAGGGGCCCGTGAAGACGCGTGGCACAAAGCGGCTGTCCGACCGGTTGGACGCCTGTCTTTCGGTTTTTGCCTCGCACGTTCAGGTCCAACACACATGGCACCTTAAGACTTTTGAAGGCAACGAAGCGCAGGTACGGATGGTGCTGGACGTCATTCTGCAACACTTGTGCCGGAAGCACAGGTTGCGCCTTGCTTTGGAAGAACCTGTGCCGAAGTCTTCGCCTTTTGCTGGCAAGGCTGACTACATTCTGCTGGATGCTGGGCAGCCAGTGGCCATTATCGAGGCAAAGCGGAATCTCGGCTCCGTTGAGCACCACGCGGAGACCAGGCTATTTGGTGCAGCTATGGCGCAAAGCTACGCGCTGTTGGCTGGCTTCCTGTCTGAGAAGCCGTCCGCCCAGTTGCTTGGCATTGTGACCGACGCACGCGGGTGGCTGCTGATGCGAGTGACGCCCGAGAAGCAGCCTGTGCTGCAACTGTGGCCGGAAGGGCATGCGATCCTGGAGCTGAACAGCCAAGTGGACTTGGCCCACTTGCTCCACTGCCTGGAGCACCTGCTCCTGATGAGACGTCGGGCACCGTATCCTGCGCGGCGTTCCACGTCGTGACTGATCGTGAAGGCGGGAGGCCATCAACTGCGACAGAATCGGACTTGTTGGTGGGGTTCCACTGCGAGCCACCGGAAGCTTTTTAAGCTTTCGTATTTGGGGGTGGTGAAGCTTTTGGTGAAGCTTTTGGAGTTGGCCTTCGCAGATGGAATTGATAAGCTGGCACTGGACAGCGGTCATCGAGATGGCGTTCGCCCAGTCATCGTGACCGATGTCGGCCTGGAACCTTGATGGCTGCAAATACTGGAGTTGCCTTCGGGGCGAGCCGATGTATCCTGGTTCGTATAGGGGCCTTCGAGAAGCGTTTGCCTCCATCCCTGGTGAACGCTTTGGTCCTGACTGTCGAGCAGTTCGAAGGCCTTCAGTTTGACGATTGTATCTTGGTGAACTTCTTCTCGGACTCCCTCTACAGAGATTGGGACACGATTCAGACTTTCTGGAACGACTTCGAGGGGGGCAAAAGGAGAAGGAGAAGCCGAAGGGGGAGGGGCCCAAGGTCAAGGCCCTCGCTTCGAGACTTTCCGGCACCTGCTCCTGTGCTCAGGGTTGAAGCATCCTTTGCAGCGATGATTCTCACCCGCAGCTGCGTACCAGCACAGAGAAATTTTCTAGAAAAGGGCCCTGCTGCTGGAAGAAAGTTCACTGAGTGGTGACCGAGAGGCATGTGTCCAAAAAGGCAGTCGCTGGAGGGCCCAAAGGTCTTTAAATGGCCCACGACACGGAAGTTGAGGCCCCATCCCTATTGCTTCTTGCCACTGAAGCCCCTTGCGTCCACACAAGTTTCCGACACCTTCGACGAGTTCGCGGGCCTGGCATTCGCAAAGATGTGGGAGTCCGCTTGCTTTGGGGTTTGGTTGGGGGCAGGGGGTACGTCGGCCCAGGATTGTATAATTGTGTCCAGAGCCAGAGTCCTAAAACCCCAAATCCTAAACCCGAAGCCCTAAACTAAAGCTTTGCATGTTCCGGTCTCCTGAACCTTAAGCAGCGCCAAACATAAAGTTGTTGACTGCCACCCTGCAGAGTTTAGGGGTGTCGGTGTAAGGTTACATGAGACACTCAACCCTCAACCCTCAACCCTCAACCCTCAACCCTCAACCCTCAACCCTCAACCCTCAACCCTCAACCCTCAACCCTCAACCCTCAACCCTCAACCCTCAACCCTCAACCCTCAACCCTTGCACCCTGCACCTTAAACCCTACACCCTACATCCTCCACCCTACGCAGTACACCCTACACCCTAGCACCCTACTGCCGGTAAGGGCGCAGCTCATGTTCTCCACGGTCATGCTGCATTGCGTCATCCACGGCGATGGCTCCAGCGAACCTGGGGACCCCCGGGCTTCGGGTGTTGGGTGCTCGAGGTTCCTAAGGTTCCTAAACCCTAAACCCTACACCGTAAACCCTGAATCCTAAGAACTAAGGGCAAAGTCCTACACTTTAAGTCCTAAACCCTAAGCCCTGTGCCTGAGGTTGGGTTCCAGGGCTTCCGGTTTGTGGGATTGCCGGGCTAAGTCATGGGCTTATTATCCGTCCCTGCTGCCCTGCATATTCGATTAGTGCTACTCAGTCGGCACTCATTCTAGTTAGCACGAGGGGCGGCCCCAAAACGCTGATATGCTCAGCATCATTAGCATGTCTCTGGCGACACGTAACCCTGAACGGTCTAAGCAAAAGCACTTCGTGCAACAAGGATTCGTACCAGGGTTCCCCTTCTCTTTGCCCGAAACCCTAAACCCTAAACCCTAAACCCTAAACCCTAAGCCCTAAGCCCTAAGCCCTAAGCCCTAAGCCCTAATCTCGCGTGGATGGGTCGAGCCAGGACATGAGCTATGAGAAGTGGAGCAGCATGAACAAAGGCCTTGAGGACTGCACATGTGTCTGGGTGTGGAACCCCATGATCTTATATGGTTAAGTTATCTTGTATATATATATATATATATGTATACGTATACTTTTGTTCTCATATTATTCTCTGGAGATCTTCACAGTTACCGTCCAGACTTGCTTGTCTGCCTGGTGCAGGACATCAACAGAGATGTCCCTGAATTTGTTCAACGGCGCCCCGGCGAACAGAAGCCATAGTCAGCAGGTGTAAAGTGAGTAAAAAGTAGCAGACACAATGCCCAGAGGCAGACAAAGCAGCAGAGCCATTAGCATCATTAGCAGGAAGAGTTCAGGAAGAGCTTTAGGTTCCAGTACATAACCGTTCCATACTGGCAGGGGACAGGAGACAGGAAGTGGATCCTGCGCGATTTCGACAAGATCAGTTACAGAAGAATCCTTAGGACATTGTTCAGGCCCCTAGTTTCCGTTCTGGGTTCGTTCAGAGCCAGGATACACTTCCTGGAGGCTTTCTTTAATGCCCTGAAGACCTGTGATCCCCCTCACGCGGTGAGCGCGGAACCGATCTAAGGTTCGAATGCCCAAGCCCCTGAAACCCTCACAACCCTACAGAAGCACCTACAAGCTGGTTTAGGGTTTAGGGTTTAGGGTTTCGGGTTTAGGGTTTAGGGTTTAGGATTAATGTCTTTGCTTTTCATACACTTGTTTTGCGGCCAAGGCCCATTTATGACGCCGTCTGCAAGAAGTTCTCGCCAGAGCTGTCCATAGCCAGGGCCTCAAAGCCCTGGGTGGGTTGAAGGGGAAAAATTGTTCGTCTTTTTTGCGGGTTCGGGTGTTGAGATTTCGGGGTTTTGGGGGTTTAGGGGTTTTAGGAACCCTCAACCCCCCTGAACCGCTGGAAAAAGCCCTGGGAACCCTGGAGTCCCCGAAAACTTCATCCTCCTGCCGTGGCTCGGGACCGGTGGCCACTTTCGTTGTGGTTCAGGGTAGAGGTTTCGGAGATGATTTCGGTTTAGGGTTTAAGGGCTTGAGGTTTTGTAGGGTTTAATGCAGGGTTTGAGGTTGGTTTAAGGTTTGGGGGCGTCTCTGTCGTCTTCATGTCGGTCTTCAGCGAGCCTCCTGCAACCCGCAAATCGAGACGTCGACATCCTAAGCTAATCAACTCGCTGGCCGAGGCATATGCATTACTGTGATGTCCCTGGGCCTCTGATGAGCCCCTTAGCCCCTCAGCCCGTAAAACAATATTGATCCTACAGCCGCCCAACCCTAAACCCTAAACTAAACCCTAAACCCTACACCCTAAGCCCTAAGCCCTAAGCCCTAAACCCCAAACCCTAAACCCTAAATCTAAACCCTAAACCCTAAACCCTAAACCCTAAACCCTAAACCCTAAACCCTAAACCCTAAACCCTAAACCCTAAACCCTAAACCCTAAACCCTAAACCCTAAACCCTAAACCCTAAACCCTAAACCATAAAACCTAAACCCTAAACCCTAAACCCTAAACCCTAAACCCTAAACCCTAAACCCTAAACCCTAAACCCTAAACCCTAAACCCTCAACCCTAAACCCTCAACCCTAAACCCTAAACCCTAAACCCAAAACCCTATAGGTCCTAAACCCTAAACAAAGCTCACATATCCTTAGGTTTAGAAGAAGCTCCAAAATGCAATGCTGGGCGCTTTTTGTGGGCTTTCGGGCCTTTAGAGGGACAACGGGGTTCTTTAGCGGGGTAAACCCTCAAACCCTAGCCCTAAACCGTAAACCCTAAACCCTCAACCGTTCAGGGCGTTTAGAGTTCAGAGACTTGTGGGATGCTTTTGGGGGGGGCTTTTGGGGTGGGTTTAACGTTTAGGGTTTAGGGCTTAGGGGGCTCTTAGGGCTCTTAGGGCTCTTAGGGCTAAGCCCTACCTTAGAAACCCTCCCCCCTTCCCCTCCCCCCGCCTCCCCCTTCCCCGCTTCCTTCTGCTCCCGAAGCCCCAAACAAGGCCTTGATGCCAAGCGCCTACAGCCGGGCACCCTGGAGTACAGGTCTAGGAGCATGACAAACTGGTCCGTAGCAACAAAGGGTTCAGCAACAAAGGGTTCAGGGTTTAGGGTTTAGGGTTGGGGTGTATGAGGTTCTTTGTAGGGAATGAGGGCATTAGGTACCTTTTCTCCCCTCTATTCTAGCTAAGAACCCTCAACCCTCAACCCTCAACACTCAACCCTCAACCCTCAACCCTAAACCCTAAACCCTGCACCCTAAACCCCGAAACCCCGAAACCCCGAAACCCCTAAAGTCCTAAAGTACTAAACCCCTAAAGTCCTCTTCCTTCGTTCCTTCACATGGCAGCCCAAGGTCCGGCGCCCTCGCGGGCGGGCTTCACGTGCGGCCCCCGTGTTCCTGTGCCATCTGGGTGTCTTTTGGGCTCCCTAAGACACAGGACTCCTACCATTTAGGTTTAGGGTTGGGGTTTAGGGTTTTAGGGTTTTAGGGTTTCGGGTTTAGGGTTTAGGGTTTAGGGTTTAGGGTTTAGGGTTTAGGGCAGACCCAGGAAGGATCCGCAACAGAAAGAACTCTGAAGTCTGCATCGATGTTTACTATAGCCATGTTCTGGTAGCCGCAGCCCAGCAATCGTTTGGGGTTTCGGGTTTAGGGTTTTAAATCCCAACCCCTCGTAGTATCTTGAACGAGGACCCGGCGTAGGGCCCTTATTTCCTTTTTAGTGTTGGGGTTCCCTTGCAACCCCCTTGAAGCCAAAAGGGTACCGTCTTATTCCTAGGCTACTGATGGGTCTAGTGAACTCATTGGGCTTCTTCGATCTTGCCAAACTGTGTTTCATCGTCTTGCCGGCCACCTCCAGCAATTTGACAATCTAACCCTCTTGAGCACCCCCGCGTTTGACCTTGCGGAGCCTAAACCTCTAACACAAAAGACCCATGCACCCTAAACCCCCAACCCCTAACTGAACCCTAACCCTTAAACCCTAACCCCTAATCCCTCCACAAAGAACCCCGAGGCAGTCGAGACTCGGCAGCGACTCGAGTGGGGGTGCCCAGACGGGGTTTTGGGGTTTTAGGGTTTCCGAAGCCCTGAACCCGATGGCTGTGGGGCTGAAGGCGGAAGCATCCGGTGTTCAGGACATGTTGTAGCTTCGGATTGAAGCCCTCGCTT